CGATATTTTTTCACCATTTTCGTTGAACGAAGTTTTCTAGTTAAACGTTGATATCTGAAGGGAAAAATAAAGAAAAACAAACAAACTTGAAGTATTTTTTCACCTAAACAACGTACTGTAAAGGTTTTTACTCACTCCTCAGTTCCGCGTTTTATTTTATGTGCTGATGGTAGGTGGCGGTCGAAGCGCACACTTGTATAGGGACACCCCGAGATCGGGCATTTTCTGAGCGGATTCTTGATCCTTTCCTCTGTCTTTGGACCATATTGCCAGAGTTTGTACTTTTTGTCCGACCATCCGTGTATAGTTTTTAAATGTCTTGGCAGCCGAATTTGCAGTTTATCGCAGATGTGACAAATTTGCTTTTTGAGTTTGCCCTTCACGTCTTGCTCTGCGTCCAGGTCGTCGTCGCTGTCAGGGATTGCGTAAAATTTCTTTGCTTCCCCACCTTTTACTGCCAGTATCTCTAAGTCTTGAAGTTTGAGAATCATTAGAATGCAGTTTTTACGGAAGTAAATCTCAGGCTACACCATAAAATAGCTAATTGTTAAAAATTTATTATAGACATACATACCATCACAATCTGGAGATTTCTCTTCATTTCCTATGGTCTGATTAATGCATTGTGGTGGCTGATGAACAACACAAATCTCCGGTTCTAATGGTGTGTCTTAACACGAAAAAAAGAAAGCAAACCAACAAAAAGTGAGATGAAACGCATATAACTGGTAAAATAACCAGTCGATCATTATACACTTACTTCTGTTTGAAACCACTCGCTGTGGAGTACCAGCCGAATTGCCAAAAGTGGTTTTTTCTAAATCAATCTCTATAAAGTGAACAGTTTTGGTAAATCATTTCATAGAACATTCATTGTATGACCAGAAAAAACTCTTACCTTGCAGTTGCTGATGGACAACACAGATCTCGGGTTCTAATGGTATGTCTTGACACGAAAATAGAAAGAAAGAAAACAAACAAACAACCAGTTAGAGCAAATGTATATAACTGGGAAAATAACCAGTCGAACAGTACACACTTACTTCTGTTTCTAACCAATCGTTGTGGAGTATCAACCGCATCACCAAAAGTGGGTTTTTCTAAATCAATCTTTATAAAATGGACAGTTTTAGTAAATTCTTTCATAGAACATTCATTGTTTGAACCGAAAAAACTCTTACCGGCCTCCACGATCTGTATCTTGCATACCGTCTGAGTTTCTTTATTTGCCTCTTTTTTTAGGTGGCCTGATTTGTCAAACTCTGGCTCGCCGTCTACTCCGTCCAATATTCGCTCTGCCTCGTCGCACTGAACACCAATGCATGAAAACAACGGAATTTTCTTGAAATTGGAGGATTCATCTAGCATAAAGGGCTTTTGTTAGAATATTTTTAGGTTTTGACAGGGTGAAGCAGCTTTTACTCACTCACCAGTTTGAATAGAAGCGTCTGCGACGTTGCGCCTGGGCTTCTTCAGCGAACCAAATTCATAATGGGAATCTTAAATGAAAAATCAAAATAACAAAGTAAGAAGAAGAGGCAAGGAACTATCATTAAGGAACGTGACAGATTGTACTTACTATCCAGTATTGGGATGTCGTCATGGATAGGAACATCCAGGGGAAGGTCAATGGTACCTATGTTCCGCATTCCAAAAACCTTGGCCAATAATCTCTTATTAAGTTTGAACTGCTCCAAAATCTAGAAATAAACAACAACTGTTAGGTCGCATGAACTTATTGTGACATTTTACAAACTGTTATGCTTACCACGCCTGCCATCATAAGGTTGCTTGGATACACCTGATGGTATGCAGCTCTCAGGGATTCAAGGTTGAACTTAAGGGAACTTTCGGAAACAATAGGCATCTTTGTATCTACAAAGTCCAAGAGATTTATTACAGTTCCTTTGTTATTTGAATCTTTTTACACTTGTTTGGTTTGTAGCATAATCAGGCAGTGCAAAAAACATGGGATTTATGCAACACGATTACCTGCTTGCCAACATATTTTATATTAAGAATTTAAAAAAAAAAAAATTAAAAAAAAAAAAAAAAAATTCAATTGAGTTTAAAGAAATAAATTTGGAAAAAAAAACTATTTCCCTGAACTCCCTACTCCGGATTTCCCTTCTCCACAAATCCTTTATCATAAACTTTGATGTTTAAATAATTTTGTCATGTTTTCTTTAGCAAAATAGGCTGGATTTCCAAGAACGAGTTGTAAAACTATGCAAACCTTACCTCAACTTACCCCACCCCCCTTAAACCATTTTTTAAACATGGCGTCAGCACTGTCGTCAGATTCAAAAATTCAAACTGAAATGTCAATTTTCTAGTTAAGAATAATTCCATTATTTGCAAAAGGATTATTTTCAGGTAACTACTTACCTTATAAACAAATTCTGATTTTGGAAATGTGGAGAAAAGTAGAAACAGCGCAGTGTCGTTATAGTCTTTGACGAGCTAAAAACTAACGTCCTCAACGGTCTGTAAGTACCAGCGAAGAGAGGAAGGGAGGGGAGGGACGGTGACAATTATTAACGAATATAGACGACTTTTGGCAATTTTACCATGCAGATGAGTGCAAAAAGTGGTAGTTACCTATGACATACTATCAATGTTATGACGTAATCATGAACCGCAGTCCATCATTGAGAGATTACATGCGCAACTCATATTGTGCGCATGCGTAGGAAATATATATTTTTAAAAAGACGTCATTTTGGCAGATAATTCTGATAAAAATCCAGACACGAACGATTAAAATATATGTTTTGGCCTTATATCATCATTGCACACCCAGATGGATTGCAGCACTAGATTTTGTTTCTCAAGGAGCAGTTCTAGCGATTTTGGGGTTAGGGTTAACTCCTTTCTGAAGCTTCATATGTTCTGCAAATGTTGACATACGAAGACCGTATTTGGCGAAAACTCTTAGAATTCGATGAAGAATAAGATATTTTAAAACGAAGTTCCACTGAGAGCGATAAAGGGGCTTTTGAGAAAAGCCTATTGCAGGCTCATTAATATACAGAGGTCGCTCCTCATGTATAAAAGCAGCAAACTATTATAAAAAAGATAGTTTTCTATTTATAATAAAGATAACAATATATCTTGTAAATATCGCATGAATTCAATAAGTGATTATAGAGATAGAACAGAATGAATAATTCATGAAAATAACCGCTGACCATATATTTCAGCCCCCCTTTACGACCACATGCCAAAAATAAAGCCACAAAAGCGTGTTATAATCTTGTTCCTGAATGCAATTAAGACATTTTTGAGAAATTTTTTATCAAGACGTCAATAAAGAGGGGGATTTAAAATCGCGGGCTCTGGCAACATTTAAAAGTGCCCAGGCATGCGTATAAGCACCAAACCCCCTCCACTTGTACTTTTCCGTATTGCGCCGAGATAACGCAGCAGTACATTAGAAACCAAAATTTTCTCACGTGAGTATCACCGTTGTTATTTCAATCCCTAGTTTAATCTGGGTAATACCGCTGACCGATTCTTTCAGATCCCCTTATGGCGACTTGGCAGACCTTAAACCACTAAAACGAGTAAAAATCGTATTTCTGACAACTATTAGAACACTTAGGACCATTTTTACGTTAAGACGCCAATAAAGGGGGGTTTAAAAATCGCAGGCTCTGGCAAAGTTTAAAAAATCCAGCGCATGCGTATAAGCACCAAACTACATAAATGCTGCTTTTCTGTATTAAGGTGACACAGCGCAGTAGCACATTAGAAATCAAACCTCTCTCATCCGAGGAACAGCGATGTTATCTCAAACCCTAGTTTGGACTGGGTGTTACCGCTGACCGCTTATTGGATCACCTATAACACCTCCTTATTGAAAATTTGAAAAGTTGGGTTTTAGATATGTTGGACCAACTATAACTCTCTGCCCAATAAGCATAGACTTGGCACTGCCTTGTTCGATTTGAATTTTTAGGACGCCAAGATTGCTCATTGAATTGAAAATTTCCTGCGCATGCGCCTTTGCCTATCCAAACTCCAAACTCCGCTAAAGCAATGAGCTTGTCAAGTGGGTCAAGCAAGCAAGAGACCGTCATGGTATCTTAAGAACTTGATATCGAAAAGCGGGATAATGTGAAAAGCTGGTCGTGTTCCACAAGGGTCCCTAAAACGAGTCACGTGACTCAATCCTCAACATATTGAACACAAATTACCACAAAACAAGATTTTCGAGATAACATACTTTATTTTGATGCTATTTACATTAAATAAAAACGAATAGAACGGCCACAGTTAAGATTTAAATCATGTCATTTTTTGCTGACAGTAAGAATAGGGTCCGCCAAAAAAGTATGAAAAATAAACTGAACACCAACCAAACTTCCATCACTTAAAGCTATGGCCCAGCACATAGTTTGAGAAAAGTATGGTAAGGAAAGTCTGAAAACCAGCAACGCCAGCGCAAAAAGTCGATGTCAGCAAAAAATGACATTTTTGTGAAAAGGTACTAATAGCTCTAAAATCCACGCATGCGCAGTGTACACCACCAAACTTGGTCTGCAGCCTTTACTAACATTCGAACATAAGCTGTGAAAGTTTCAAGTCAGGACCTTTAGAAACAACAAAGATACAAGACTTGGTCAATTTCAGATATGCAGTAGAAAATTAGGTCCTGTTAAAGTCACTATTCCTGAACACGACATTCTTCGTCCAGCGGTAACGCCACCGGAAAACACACGTAGACCATAATATGTACCGGCAAGAAAGTACTTGAGATGATGATTACAGTGCAACCATCGGTTTCTCTCTAGCTGCTCAGGGTGAGGAGTTAGAGCGTTTTGAAGTTGGCAAAATGGCCCAAATTTGGGGACAAAACGTGGGATATCTTGGCCCCACGTGACCCGACCGGCGTTGATTTTTGTACACTCACTAATCTAGGTGAGTACTACATATATGTCAAACTTGAGCTTGTTTGGAGTTCGTTAAGGGGTGATGTCATTTTGTCAGGAAAGTATGGCTACGGCCATACCACCGGGAAAATACCGGTTCTCGTCCGATCACCGAAGTCAAGCCCGGTAGGGCCAGGTTAGTACTTGGATGGGTGACCGCCTGGGAATACCTGGTGCTGTAGACTTTCTTTTTTTCTCTCTCTCTCTCTCTCTCTCTCTCTCTCTCCAGGAAACGACAATGTTAGAATAAGAGTGCTTCTATTTGATCAGAACAACTCAATCAATCATTGTAACTGACTATCTGACTGACTGACTGACTGACTGACTGACTAAGCAACAAGTAAGTTACGCTCTAAGTAAAGAGACAACATTCAAATGGCTTTCTGTAAGTGAGTGCTAATTGAATTAACGCCTAGCTAACTAGCACTTCAATGGCTTGCAGTAGTTACGACTTGGCGTAGTGTTTCTAGTCTATTGCAACAGTAGTAAGTACAGCAAAAAGGAATGAAAAAAAGTCTTGCTTTACGAGTAAAGACAACTGAATCGCCTTGTATTGTTGAACTAGTTACGACTCGCTCGTGAACGTTCGAACGCTGACGAGCAAGAGGTTGTTTTCTTTGGATCGCAGTCGCCCACAGCTGAAATCGAGAAAAGGGGGAATGCTGTAAGATGGCCTCAAAACGTTGCTAACTAGTTGGACCATTGATTATTGCCTAGAAATAAACAAGTGTAGCCATAGAAAGGCGAACTAGGAGTTGGGGTTTGTGTGAAATTGGGGTAAATTGGTTAGGGTTAGTTTGCACTTGACTAGGGTTTGTGGAGAGTTAGGGTTAACTTCTTTCTAGGGTTTGTTTGTGCGAAGAACTTAGGGTTAGACATAGAGCTAGGGTTGGGGTTGAAATGCAAGTTAGGGTTAGAAATGCAGACTTAGGGTTAACATTGTGTTTAGGGTTCGGGAAAAGTTAGGGTTAGACATAGAGCTAGGGTTGGGTTTGAAATCCAAGTTATGGTTAGAATGCGGACTTAGGGTTAGGCTTCGGGAAAAGTTAGGATTAAACAGGGCCTAGGGTTTGAGCACCGTTAGTGTTCACCATCTRGCTAGGACTAGAACACAGTGGAAACTTCTACTACTATAACTGMTGTTGTTGTTAGGATTGAATTGTTCGGGGACTAGCGCGAACGCAGGTCCCCACTACCAGAAATTATACGCTCGAGTTACCCACATTTGGGGTAATCGCAGGGGTCAACCCAATCGAAGTGCAATGAGAGGGCCTCACCCTGAGAGGACTGCCTTCATGATCACAGTGAACCTCCCGCGTCAGGTAAGTTTTTTTGTTTTTTACACACGTACAGAAAGGGATTCCTGTAGCGTTAAACTGGAGGGTACTACTGGTACGCCAACTATGCTAGGGTCGTGAGCCCCACCTCCAAACCACCTCCAAAGACAACATCACATTGACACAAAATACAACCAGCATGACTCATAGTGGAG